TTTAGATCCATTACACTCACAGTCTTATGTTAAAATCTCAAAGGACAGCATTATATTTTTGATATTAACAGTAACTCTGGGCCTCTGTGGAGTGTGCAGCTGATCTCATCGCTGTCTAAAAATGGATAAAAAAAAACATAAGTGTTGAAGACTATTAAGAGTAGCAGGTGTGTAGCATCGCTAACTAGCTAGCAACAAGCCTTCAACACATTGCGTATGCTAGCGGCTAATCTAGCAAACAAATTAATAACAGAGTGATTTTAGATGTTGTAGAACTATAAGATGATGAGCTGTGTGTCTTTTTCATAACAGTGACATGGTTGTATTTACCTTAATTTAACGAGTCGTCAGTCGCAGTAAACCAGCTAAAAACTGGAGTAGCCGGGCTACGTAAAAAGTGTAGGGGGCGTGTTTCCGGCCATGTCCAGCGGGTGTGTGGGCGGGAGCGTGGCGCAGTCGCTCCACCTCAAGTCACTACTGCGCAGACTCTGGCTCCAAAAATGCAAGATGGCAGCCTCCACAAGTGGGATATTTTGGCTTCATTTTTGCACAATGGGAGGAGGCGCTGTGGCGTCGTCCATGTTTTATGGTTTTATACAGTCATTGGTCCCACCCTATACCTGACCCCACCCACCAAACAGACCTCGCACTGAAATAGACTCCTCCCCTAACCACCTCCAGATACACTGATGGTGTCCAGAAATTTTTTTTCACAAATTTAAGTAGACACTGACTCCTTCCTATCAGCACCCCGCCCCTCCTTGCTCTAACTCCTCCCCCTTTATTTCACTACGTGCCATGATGACCACTAATAAAACAATGTCTCCCCATCAAAGTTCATGTTGTGTCATCAATCTATGTTTGATGTCCGGTGGGTGTGGGTGGGGCTGTGGGTGGTCCTTCTCTGAACACGTGTGTGTGTGTGTGTGTGTGTGTGTGTGTGTTTCCTTCAGACTGTGAGTGTAATGGTCACTCCAACCGCTGCAGCTACATCGACTTCATCAACGTGGTCACATGTGTGAGCTGTAAACACAACACGCGGGGGCAGAATTGTCAGTACTGTCGCCTTGGTTACTACCGAAACGCCTCGCTGCCGCTGACTGACGAGAACGTCTGTGTTGGTCTGTAACATGCACACAAACGCACAGACAGCTCAATGTGAAGTTAGAAACCTGTAAACATCTAAAGGTTGAACCGTGGCTCTGGTCTCGAGCTCTATGACAACCAGGACGAACATGTAAAACTGAGAAATCTCCTCAGATGTCTTCACACAGCTCTGACTTTATAAGATACCAAAGTGTATTCTCATCAAATGGCAGCACAGTGTCCCACAGGTCAGAAGCTGTCTTATCACATTAGTTTATGTTGATATCTCACAGTGAGTAACCCATCTGAGCCAGACCTAAAAGGTAGAATGGAGATCATTTATCTTTCAGGAGCAGGACCACACCTCTGCACACGCCCCGCCCTGTCTATAAATGACCAACCCCACTGCCGCACTGTGGCACTACGAGCTATTCATACGCATTTTTGTCAGTATGTGGGGATCTGCCCAGGAGCCGCTGCCAGTTCCCAAACCACAGCTCAATTCATGCTCACGCCATCCACTGTTATCTACAAAAACACAATCTGTTACGTCCCGGTCTAGGAATACAGGAGCGCAACATGAGGGTTAAAAGGAAAGTGACCCCGCCCCGCTCCCCAGAGCCATATCCAGAAGCCAGTTTACAGGTTAAGGTGCTTTCATTGCTACAAATACTGAAAACTTTAACTCTGGGGTGAACACAGGCCAAAATAACAAACAAAGCAAGCTATTCCAAACAGGGAGGTGCTACCTAAACCCTGGGAGAAACAAAAACCAAAAACCAACTCCCTGATTTAATAAACAAGAGCAAAAAGTACAGAAATAATAAGGCAGCTTCAGTGCAGTATCTACAACCTACACACAAAACTTAATGATTCTCACACACGGACGTTTATCAAAGATGAAGCCGAGGATGGTCTGCTGCTGGAGAGGGTTTTTTAAAGCAGGCATTTGGCACAGGACACACGGATCCATCCAAACACCGTGATGCAAAATATGGGCGGGGCCGTAACACTGTCCCACCTGAGGATGTGGTCCCAGCTAGTGAATAGATAGATGCTCTATTGATCCCACAGGGGAAATTGTTGTGTTACAGCAGCATGACAAAGAGGGAAAATGGTGACTCCACAATAAACAACAAATAACACAGTTGGAGTGCCACAGGTGAGGCCTTAGACTATGACAGAGCACAGGAATTTATATCTTTTTACATTTACAACAGCGACACAAACAAAAGTAAGAATGAAGTCAGCAGCAGGAAGAGTCAGACTGACGTTGTCCTGTTTCCACTGCACATGTGACGTGTTTGGGATGTTGTGTCCTCAGAGTGCGAGTGCCACGCAGACGGCAGCGTGTCTCCTAGATGCTTGGACTCGGGTCTTTGTCAGTGTAAAGACGGAGCCACGGGGAGGCGCTGTGACTCCTGTTTACCTGGATACACCTGGAGAGGAGGCGGGGCCGGCTGCACAGGTACACAGAGGGGCTGAATATGATGCGCCTCATGTTATCGATGAGCTAATTGGTGATCGATGATCTTTCACCATCAGCAAACGTGTGCGACAGTGAGCGTTTGGTCTGTCGGAATGGAGGAACCTGCGTCGACTTCCTGCGCTGCATCTGTCCTGAAAACTTCACAGGTAAACACAGCTCAGGTGGTGCAGGTGGGTTGGGAGATGCAATGATGTCACAGAACAACTTGATGATGCCACGTGCCCCTTCAGGTTTATTCTGCGAGCAGAGGGTGTGTCTGAAGAAGAACGGCTGCCTGGAGAACGCTGAGGACTCCGCCTCCTCTCTGGCGTCACACCTTTACCTGCTGACCTTCGGTCTGATCACCGCCACTTTCTGCTGACCCCGCCCCCAGGCACAATGTCCCATAATGACATCACCTGGGACGACGCGATTGCAACCAAATGTTTTTCCCTGAACTTCATGTTTTTTTACGTTGTCGTACAGGATATTACATCACAATCTTATGACATCACATAAGGCCCTGCACGCTAGGACGATCATCACATTATAATTTTAGGAGATCAACAACGGGTCACTTTAACCTGACAAATCAGAGACAGCCGAACTCTGCAGGGACAGAGCTGCCTCAACCCTGCTCCCCTCCAGCCCGTCCTCTCCACATCGTC